GAGCCTGACGCGGGGCTCGAACTCACGGACCGCGAGATCGTGACCTGGCTGAGGTCGGACGCTTAACCGACTGCGCCACCCAGGCGCCCCTCCCCTTTTTCTTAAACATGCAGGAATAAGTTCTGTTTTCTTTCTAGTCCATTGTATATCATACTTATTGGCTTACTTTATCATTTTCTGTGTCCACTGTCATTTCTTTGGGGTGAAACTTTTCGTGGCCCTACCCCCATTTTTTTCCTTGCAGAGGGCCATCCTTTTGTAGTTCTCTTACTCAGAATCTGAGCTAGTAAGGTCTAGTCCTTTTAGGTTTGTCTGTATTTTTTTTTTTTTAATGTTTATCTACTTTGAGTGAGAGAGAACAGGTGTGAGTGGGGGACGGGCGGAGAGAGAGAATCTGAAACAGGCTCCATGCTCCGCACCGGAGCCCGACCTGGGTCTCAATCTTCAGACTGTGAGATGGACCTGAGCTGAAATCAAGAGTTGGACGCTTGGGGCGCCTGGGTGGCTCAGTCAGTTAAGTGTCCCACTGTAGCTCAGGTCATGATCTCGCGTTTCATGGGTTCGAGCCCCTCATCGGGCTCTGTGCTGACAGCTCAGAGCCTGGAGCCTGCTTCAGATTCTCCATCTCCCTCTTTCTCTCCCCCTTCCCCATTCCCACTGTCACTCTCGCTCCCTCGAAAATAAATAAACGTTAAAAAAATAAAAAAAAAAAGAGTTGGATGACTTAACCGACTGAGCCCCCCAAGCGCCCCAAGTTTATCTTTATTTTGCCCTCTCTCTGGGGTGGGTACAGAATCTTAGACGAAAGACTTGTTTCTCCAACATCTTTCTAACATCATTGAACACCGTTGAACGTGTAAGTTCTCCGGTTTTCCTATGATGTGCCTGGGTTTGGATTTGATTTCACTCATCTTGTTAGATAAACTGGATACAAGTCTGTCTCGAGGTCTGAGAAATCTTCAGCAGTTGTCTCTTTTAAACACTGCTACTCTACCACTGCCACTGCCCTCTTCTGTG